CCCCAAAACCCCAAAACCCCAAAACCCCAAAACCCCAAAACCCCAAAACCCCTTAAAATTGTTATTATTTGAAATAAAATAATTTAAAATAAATGTCAAACGCCGGAAAATTTTATGATCCAATTCCTAAAATCCCGCCTGCTGGGGTAACTACCACCATAAAAGCTGAGGATGCTGGCAGGTGTATTCAGACTGACAATTATTACACAGCTCCTGATACCCCACCTCATATTAAGAAATACCGCAAAAGTTTTAATAACCAGCCCGGAATAAAGCAGCGTCATTATGGTTTAGTTGATGATCAACTTCCTGATCAGACTTTTGGCAAAAAGACATATGGCTCTGAACACGTTGATGAAGTCATCAAGGCTCAGAACCTTGCTAGCCTCGCAGATTACAATAATGACCTCAAAGAGGGGAAATACCACTCTCACATTCATGAACCTCTGGGTAAGTCGTACCAGAGAGGTTATAAATTCCCAGATGCTGTGAACAAAGGTGAGTTCCAATTTGGTGTTCCTACTGACTTCAGTGAGTCTGCCAAGGACGTCCTTTATCCAGAAGATGGACACAGAGAAGCTAAGAATAGGAAAGAAGACCCTGCCATTCAAAAAGAGAGGAATTATAACTGGAATATGGACCATACTAAGCATAAATTTGGATATGCTGAAACCAAGGTTTTGAATGGTGCTGCTCATAGCCTTCATCCTGAAAGATTAGAAAGTAAATTCCCTAAAACTGTTATTGTTAAGAGAACTGTTGAAGATTTCAAACAAGTATCCCACGATATTCTTGGTAAATCGAAGAATCTTGGTCAAGGAGAAGCTCCTATTGATAAGGACCAAGCATTTGGAGTATCTATCATTGGAAATGATGCGTGGAATGCTGCCAAATGAATTCACGGAGAGCCAGGAGAAAAAGAAATTCAACCAGACCATGATCTTGGAAGAAGCACTAAACCTGGCTGTATGAATGAAGTAAGAAATGAGCAAGACATTAACCGAGTTTTTGGAACTCCCTCGATTAGACTTGATATTCCGTACAAAGAAAAGAAATCTGTGGCTGATCACCAAAATTATGGAGATGAGCCAGATGCTGTTGATTTATTATTTCCAACAACATTCACTGAACTCGGAATTTCAGAATACGACTTCTCAGCTCTGAGACCCAGAGATTCTATCAAGGATCTATTCTCCAAAATTGGTTACTCTTACAAAATAGGTAAATTCAATGCAATGTTCAACAAAGCTAGAGAGTTAGACAACACAACATCAGATATGTGCTCAGTGAGATCCTTCATTAAAATTGTTGAAGAGATGAACGATATTGAGTAGTCTCTCTTGGTGATATCTTCTAATATTATAATTCAAAATTTGCCATTCTCCAGGGGTTTTGGGGTTTTGGGGTTTTGGGGTTTTGGGGTTTTGGGGTTTTGGGG